CCCACTCACTGCTCCCTCTCACCAGTTGTCCATATTTGGCACTGCACGTTTGTGGTCATTTTCTTGATTTTTACGGCAGTAGCTACAGCCTGGCCCTGTTTACTAACCACTGTTCTAGAGTTTGGGTGCAGTAAGGGCCCCATGTTATTGATGAGCCCTGGCGGCTGCCCTTCCTGCCCACCCCTTTGTCCCGGCCCTGAAGGTGATGAAGGTGTGGCTCCTGCCTAGATTGGCCCTAGTATGTGTATGTATGGCATTGTAACCTGCATTGGGCAGGGACTGATGTGCATGTACAGTACATATGTAAAGCGCTGCGTACATTTTTGGCACTATATAAATACCTGTAATAAATTAAACAAAAATATCAGATTGGCCCCTAGACATGATATCAGATTGGCCCCTAGACATGCAGAGTTTTTGCTGCCAATGTTTTCCTTCCTTACGTTCTTTATTATAATGTTTTTTAAATGCAGTGAAGGGCGAAGGATGAGAACAGTTCCGGCCTGATGTAACTTTCCATCTCGTTGGCAGTTTTCTGCCTGAGTGACTTTTAGTCTCGGTCTCTCATCCGAGGACTGAAAATGTCCTTTCTGGGAGAACAAACTCGATGTGTATTAAACAGAGCGATCTGTAGAGGTTTTCTCCAAAACAATTCTGTCCCGGGTCAAATAAGATCAAGATCGGAGCCGGATTAGGCAGAAATCACATTTTGCTTTACGAAATTAATGTTGCGTAGATTTTGGCCAGAGGGGAGCAGGCTTTGATTAGCAGAACCAGTTTTTGGCTATGTGGGGAACCAGATTTTGGCTATGGCCATGGAGAAGACAGAACCAATCATTGGCCATGGAGGGGACAGAATCAGTCATTGGTCATAGAGGAAACAGGTCTAGTCGTTGGCCATGGGGAGGACAAAACCAGTCATTGGCCATGGAGAGAACAGAACCAGTCGTTGGCCATGGGGAGGACAAAACCAGTCCTTGGCCATGGAGAGAACAGAACCAGTCGTTGACCATGGAGAGAACAGAGCCAGTCATTGGCCATGGAGAGGACAAAACCAGTCGTTGGCCATGGAGAGAACAGAACCAGCCATTGGCCATGGAGGGAACAGATCCAGTTGTTGACTATTAAGGGAACAGATTCAGTCATTGGCCAAGGAGGGAACAGATCCAGTCGTTGGCCATGGAGGGAACCGATAAAGTCATTAGCCATGGAGGGAACATATCCAGTCTTTGGCCATGGAGGGATCATATCCAGTCAATGGCCATGGAGGGAACATATCCAGTCGTTAGCCATGGAGGGAACAGATCCAGTCATTGGCCATAGAGGGAACATATCCAGTCAATGGCCATGGAGGGAACATATCCAGTCAATGGCCATGGAGGGAACAGATCCAGTCATCAGCCATGGCGGGAACAGATCCAGTCATTGGCCACGGAGGGAACATATCCAGTCGTTAGCCATGGAGGGAACATATCCAGTCGTTGGCCATGGAGGGAACATATCCAGTCATTGGCCATGGAGGGAACATATCCAGTCATTGGCCATGGAGGGAACATATCCAGTCATTGGCCATGGAGGGAACATATCCAGTCATTGGCCATGGAGGGAACAGATCCAGTCATTGGCCATGGAGAGAATAGATCCAGCTGTTGTAAAAAACGATGAAGATTGGAGCCAAATTAGGCAGAAATCACATTTTCCTTAAGAAAATTATTGTTGCATAGATTTTGACCAGAAGGAAGCAGGCTTTGATTAGCAGAACCAGTTTGTGGCTATGCAGGGAACCAGATTTTGGCTATGGTCATGGAGAAGACAGAACTAATCACTGGCCATGGAGGAGACAGAACCAGTCATTGGTCATAGAGGAAACAGACCCAGTCATTTGGCCATGGAGGGAACATATCCAGTCGTTAGCCATGGAGAGAACAGATCCAGTCATTGGCCATGGAGGGAACAGATCCAGTTGTTGGCCATGGAGAGAACAGATGCAGTCATTGGCCATGGAGGGAACAGATCCAGTCGTTGGCTATGGAGGGAATAGATCCAGTTGTTGGCCACGAAGAGGATAGATCTAGCCGTTGGCCATGGATAGAATAGATGCAATCATTGGCCATGGAGGGAACAGATCCAGTCGTTGGCCATGGAGGGAACAGATCCCGTCATTGACCATGGAGAGAATAGATCCAGCCATTGGCCATGGAGAGAATAGATCCAGCTGTTGTCAAATAAGATGAAGATTAGAGCCAAATTAAGCAGAAATCACATTTGCTTTAAGAAAATTATTATTGCGTAGATTTTGGCCACAGGGAAGCAGTCTTTGATTAGCAGAACCAGTTTTTGGCTATGCAGGGAACGAGATTTTGGCTATGGCCATGCAGAAGACCGAACCAATCATTGGCCATGGAGAGGACAGAACCAGTCATTGGTCATAGAGGAAACAGATCCAGTCATTGGCCATGGAGGGAACATATCCAGTCGTTAGCCATGGAGAGAACAGATCCAGTCATTGGCCATGGAGGGAACAGATCCAGTTGTTGGCCATGGAGAGAACAGATGCAGTCATTGGCCATGGAGGGAACAGATCCAGTTGTTGGCCATGGAGGGAACAGATCCAGTTGTTGGCCATGGAGGGAACAGATCCAGTTGTTGGCCATGGAGGGAACAGATCCAGTCATTGGCCATGGAGGGAACAGATCCAGTCGTTGGCCATGAAGGGAACAGGACCAGCCGTTGGCCACGGAGGGAACAGATCCAGTCGTTGGCCATGAAGGGAACCGGACCAGCCGTTGGCCACGGAGGGAACAGGACCAGCCATTGGCCATGGAGGGAACAGAACCAGCCAATGGCCATGGAGAGAGTAGATCCAGCTGTTGGCCATGAAAGGAACAGAACCAGCCGTTGACCACGGAGGGAACAGAACCAGCCGTTGGCTTCGGAGGAGACAGGACTAGCCATTGGCCACGGATGGAACAGAACCAGTCATTGGCCATGAAGGTACCAGAACCAGCCTTTGGCCATAGAGCAGGGGTGGGCAAACTTTTTGACTTGAGGGCCGCAATGGGTTCATATATTGGACCCGGGGGCCGGACCAAGAGTACATGAATGATGTGTATGTGTCATCCATAGTAAGTATAGTAATATTCCCCCATAGTAAGCATAGTAATTAATCCCCCATATAGTAATTCATCCCCCATAGTAATTCATCCCCCATATAGTAATTCATCCCCCATAGTAATTCATCCCCCATATAGTAATTCATCCCCCATATAGTAATTCATCTCCCATATAGTAATTCATCCCCCATAGTAATTCATCCCCCATAGTAATTCATCCCCCATATAGTAATTCATCCCTCATAGTAATTCATCCCCCATAGTAATTCATCCCCCATATAGTAATTCATCCCCCATAGTAATTCATCCCCCATAGTAATTCAACCCCCATATATAGTAATTCAACCCCCATATAGTAATTCATCCCCCATAGTAATTCATCCTCCATAGTAATTCATCCCCCATATAGTAATTCATCCCCCATATAGTAATTCAACCCCCATATAGTAATTCATCCCCCATATAGTAATTCATCCCCCATATAGTAATTTCATCCCCCATAGTAATTCATCCTCCATAGTAATTCATCCCCCATATAGTAATTCATCCCCCATATAGTAATTCAACCCCCATATAGTAATTCATCCCCCATATAGTAATTCATCCCCCATATAGTAATTCAACCCCCATATAGTAATTCATCCCCCATAGTAATTCAACCCCCATGTAGTAATTCATCCCCCATATAGTAGTTTATCCCCCATATAGTAATTTATCCCCCATATAGTAATTCATCCCCCATAGTAATTCAACCCCCATATAGTAATTCATCCCCCATAGTAATTCATCCCCCATAGTCATTCAACCCCCATATAGTAATTCATTCCCCATATAGTAATTCATCCCCCATAGTAATTCAACCCCCATATAGTAATTCATCCCCCATATAGTAATTCATCCCCCATAGTCATTCAACCCCCATATAGTAATTCATCCCCCATATAGTAATTCATCCCCCATATAGTAATTCATCCCCCATATTAAGTCCCCCGTGTCAATTCACTTACCTTTGCTCCGCGCGTTCCTCTCGCCCGTCTTCCCGCGCCGCTCCGGAAAATCTGTCTCCTATGAGGATCTGTCCCCCTCGACGTATCTGCGCATGTGCCAGTTTCAGGCATTAGCAGCCGATCGGCGATCTCCGGCACATGCGCAGATACGTCGAGGGGGACAGATCTTCAGGGCGGACTGTGAGAGGAGCCTAGCGGGAGCCTAGCTCCGCGGGCCGGATTAAAAGGTCCGCCGGGCCATATACGGCCCGCGGGCCGTAGTTTGCCCATTGCTGCCATAGAGGGAACAGAAAGTTTTGACTTAGAGTTACATATTTGAAAAGGAAGGGGGAGGGTCAGGAAGCATGCTATTTTATTTTACTTTTTATAGCAGTTTCAGGGCATAAAGTTGGCATAAAATCAGTATTGGGCTCCTTTCAACTTTTTTGGAGAGGGGTTAGGTGCACAATCTTCTTGTGATAGCGAAACATATACAAATTTGGAGAATTGTGAATAATAGCTCTGCTCCATTGTTCCATATGTGTAATGATTACTAACAGTTAATCGTGGGATGATGATGGGCAACGATCGCTCCAGCGAAAAAACCCAACTATAGATGAAGAATCAAAATAGCAAAGAGAAGTGTGCCTTCTAATGCCCATAATTTGCTGCTATATCCACTCAAGTAAGTTGGCAAGCTGTTTTGCTTTCAGACTAGCATTGCTAACTTAGTCTTTCTGATAAAAATAGGACCAGCTACCTATATCATTAATAGAAAAGAGACTGTGAGGCTGACTTTTTTCCCAGAATAGGTGGAAACCCTTCTCCAGACCAGCTTGTGAAACATGCCTCTTCTCTATGCATCAGGCTTACCATCTCTAATTGTTTTTTTTTTTTAAAGGCTTCCAAGATGTCCACACCATGATCTTTATCGGCTTCGGTTTTCTGATGACCTTCCTGAAACGCTACGGTTTTAGCAGCGTGGCGTTCAATTTCCTGATCGCAGCCTTTGGTCTCCAGTGGTCAACGCTCATTCAAGGCTTTTTCCATGGCTTCCATGATGGCAAAATCCACGTTGGCATTGAGAGGTGAGGGGGAGGTGGGAATCCATAGTTTGGTCACCTGAGCTGGGTCGATATTTGGCCGAGCAGCAGAGACAAAACTTTGTTTACTCTGTTCTGCCACCTTGTCTGAAATTCACTCTGATGTTCTCAACAAAGAGAACGTTATTGCAACGTGCTTGGCACAAAACTGACTTTATCAAGGTCCACTCCATTGTAGTCTTGTTTACCTTTTGAGTTGTTGCAATATGGAGGGAATTTCACAAGATCTTTATCACTCCAGTGTGTTTAAATAAAAAGAAAACCCCAAGTTCCTGAATTTATGACCAGGATATCATTTATGTGACCCCTGGTTATTTATTGTGCCTGTATTAAGCACAATGTGTTGGCCTATCATGACATAAAGTAGCCAGGCTTATCACAAACATTTTAGAACAGAGTTCCCCAAACTTTCTAAACAAGCGGTAGGTTTATTGTCCTCCAGACTTTAGGGGGACCGGACTGTGACCAGCAGGAGTGGAATTTTTCCTGGCATCAGTGGGAATAAACATTTGATATAATGCAGGCCATAGACGGGTCAAAAACCGGCCGTTTTTTTATAGAAAAAACAAAAAATCGGTCATTCGATTGGCCGGCGTTACCACCAACGGTAAAAAAAAATCGGCCATGAAGAGTACTGGCAGAAATGCCAGATCTTCCAGAACTTCTGCCGTGGACAGGACCCTGACACCTACCGAGGTTTTTTTAATTTGAAGACTCCCCCTCATGTTCCGTTCTAGAGACAACTCTTTTTGGATTTCCCCTCACTCTCCATTCTGGTGACAATGGTCACCAATGAAAATAAAGATGGAGAGTCTACCTAGTGAGGGACACAGATATTTGCATAGCTGACATCCAGTTTCTCTAGCCTCCTCCAGTAATAACACCATTTAAAGGTAGGTTGATTGGCTTCTACCAACAACTTGCTCTATATGTGTGTGCATGTGGCAGAGGCTGGTGTTGATTGAAACATTGTTGCAAGATGATATCACCAAAAGAAAGCCTTGTTTGTCCTACCGAGGTTACAACAACTGCCAAGTTCCTATGGTCATCTGTGTCCCTCACTAGGTATACTCTCCATCTTTATCTTTATTGGTGACCAGGGGCGGACTGACCATTCAAACACTTGGGCACTGCCCAAGGGCCCGGGGTCAGTAGGAGGCCCCATGAAATGCCCCTGGTACCTTTTTTTTTTTTATAGGCTTTTTTTGGGTGTGCTTTGAGTGTGGGCAAGGACATAGGGGCCCCATGATCCCATATTGCCCGGGGGCACCATGAGTTGTCAACCCGCCCCTGTTGGTGACCATTGTCACCAGAATGGAGAGTGAGGTGAAATCCAAAAAGAGTTGTCTCCTGAACAAAACATGAGGGGGAATCTTCAAATTGAGATACCTTCCCACTTTTGAGAGGTTCTTTCTTGTGTTTTTTTTGTGTGTCTCTGGGGCAGGAAGTGATGGAAAGTTGCCAGAGTAATGCTGTATTTTGTATTGCAGTATGATCAATGCGGACTTCTGCACTGGAGCCGTCCTTATCTCCTTCGGAGCCGTCCTTGGCAAAACCAGTCCTTTCCAGCTGATCGTCATGACCCTCTTTGAAGTGACGCTTTTTGGAATCAATGAGTTTATTATACTGAACATCGTTGAGGCAAGTGTAATGGGAACGTTGAGAGTTGCGCGTAGGTGGGGTTTCTAAAATTCCCCATCCCTGAGGAATACTCCAGATAAAACACTCCCATTTGTTAAGACTGTTGAATTCCTCTCTTGTCATTGGCTGGTTCAGTAGACTTTCAAAATCATGAATGGTTTTCACAGAACTTTCTTAACTTTATGGGCGGGCGATTTACCCTATTAAATATATATTTTCTTCCTGTTATTTTTCTGTTTTTTTTTTCCCTAGGCCAAAGATGCTGGTGGATCTATGACCATTCATACATTTGGAGCGTATTTTGGCCTGGTGGTCTCACGGGTGCTTTACAGGCCACACCTGGATAAGAGCCGCCACCGGGAGGGGTCAATGTACCACTCTGACCTTTTTGCAATGATTGGTAGGTACATGCTGGCTTTCCTGGCACAGTAGTTGGCATGGTTGTCTTGTAGCACCGGAGTCCTAAGCAGGGGCGGACTGACAACTCATGGGGCCACCGGGCAATAGGGGATCATGGGGCCCCTGTGTCCTTGTCCAAACTCAAAAAAAACCTATGAAAAAGGTACCAGGGGCATCTCATGGGGCCCCCTACTGACCCCGGGCCCTCGGGCACTGCCAGAGTTTCCAAATGGTCAGTCCGCCCCTGGTCCCAAGTGCCCTCAAGGGTATTATCCACATTGAGTATGTTTTTTATATTTGCATAGATATAGCAAGATGATATCACCTAAAGGAAGCCTTGTTTGTCCTACCGATCCTTTCTCAGTTTGAAGATTCCCCCTCATGTTTTGTTCTAGAGCAGGCGTGGACTGACCATTTGGAAACTCGGGCACTGCCCGAGGGCCCGGGGGTCAGTAGGGGGCCCCATGAGATGCCCCTGGTACCTTTTTCATAGGCTTTTTTGAGTTTGGGCAAGGACACAGGGGCCCCATGATCCCCTATTGCCCGGGGGGCCCCATGAGTTGTCAGTCCGCCCCTGTTATAGAGACAACTCTTTTTGGTTTCCCCCTCACTTTCCATTCTGGTGACAATGGTCACCAATAAAAATAAAGATGAAGAGTCTACCTAGTGAGGGACACAGATATTTGTATAGCTGTCATCCAGTTTCTCCAGCCTCCTCCAGTAAAAAACACCATTTATAGGCAGGTCAATTGGCTTCTACCAACAACTGGCTCTATAGCGTGTGTATGTGGCAGAGGCTGGGGATGATATCAACAGTTCATTCGCCTTTTCCACAATTAGTGGCCAAAAAAGTAACCTATCGGGAATCAACATCAGGGATGGCCAGATCTTTATCGCGACCATCAGGCGTCTGAGACCAGACTATATATATTTAAAGCAAGATTTATTTACAGTGAAACCAAAATCCATCCAAACACCAGGAAACAGAAAACACAGCAAATGTAAAGATACAAGCAGGGATGGACTGACAACTCATGGGGCCCCTGGGCAATAGGGGATCATGGGCCCCTGTGTCCTTGCCCAAACTCAAAAAAGCCTATGAAAAAGGTACCAGGGGCATCTCATGGGGCCCCCTACTGACCCCGGTCCCTCGGGCAAGTGCCCGAGTTTCCAAATGGTCAGTCCGCCCCTGGATACAAGTGTACCATAACCCAAAGGCAAAATACCTAACAAGCTAACTAAAATATACAAAATGAGGAACACAGGTCAACAGGGTGAAACTGGAGATGCGAGAGGGAGAAAACAGGACTGGGATCAGGGGCAAGGGGAACAGGTAGGAGGCAGCAGGGTACAGGATGCAGGGCAAAAGCAAGAGCAGGATAAATACCAAGCAGTTTCTGGCTAGCAGGGCAAAACACTAAAGTGAAGTATAATAATAGAGGACTAAATACCCTCCCAGCAGTCTCCACCTGATGCTGCTTGCTGGGAGGGTATTTAGTCCCTCCTCTACTATTACGCTTTGTTTCAGTGTTTTGCTCACTGTTTCCTGCCCTTTTAATTTTTTGGTTTGCCCAGCTGATCAACAGGGAAGCCAAGATGTTGGGGATAGGATTGTAAAGGGATATGGGGTGGCTGGGAGATGATTTGCACATAATTTCAGCTGCTTATATTCCTGAAAGTACCAATCCTTTTGGCTCGATTAAGTATCTCTAAAGCCCAACTTTTTTTTTTGTTTTAGATAATGTAAGGAATGCTTAGAACCCCTGCCAGGTGTTTTCTTTTGCTCTTTCCCCCATTGGGTAGATACCCCTTCACTTCCTGTCCTGGAGACACAACAGGAAGTGAGAGGAAATCTCTCCATCCTCTTGTCACTGAAAGCTTTTCCTGTATTTCCTGATCTGGTGACAGCTGTAGAATGTTGGATTTCCCATCGCTTTCTAAATTTAAAAAAAAAACAAAATTTTAAGCTTTAGATATACTTTAAGCATTTTTCACAATAAGCTCAGTTTGAATTTTCGAGGTTTCTGATATATTTACTTTTACAAGTTTAAAATGAAGTTTTGAAATCATAATAAATTTATGATAAGTAGATAGAGACTATTAGATACATGAATGATTATTTCATTGAAACCTGATGAACAGCGCCCCCTAGCGGACAAGTAGTTGTAAACGCGCAAAACAGCCAATGCGTTTCACTGGCAACACTACTCCCCTTTCATCAAGGCTACAGGAACAAACATATAACTTTTGTAAAAATGATGCCAAATTTTGAAAAAAAAAATTAAAAAGTCAGTCTCATGAAATGTAAATATTCTGATCTACGGTATAAATTGTGTGTTTTAGAATATCGAAATATGACCCTTTAAATGTTCAATCTAGGAACCATCTACCTGTGGATGTTCTGGCCCAGCTTCAACTCCGCCGTCACAGCTCATGGTGACGACCAGCATCGGACGGTGTTGAACACCTACTACTCCCTGGCCGCCTGTACGCTGGCCACGTTCGCCTTCTCCTCTTTGCTGAATGGTGAAGGAAAGCTTGATATGGTGAGCAGCCCAAATGGATGACCAACCAGCAAAAACTAATGGCGGTGCTTCACTCCATTGAAGATGCATTTCTCAACCTTTGTTCTGTGGTGGCACTCGTCAAATGTAGGCAAAATTTGGAGGCACCCCAGTCTGAAATGTAAAACATGTCAATGTTACCTATCAATAGAAAACCTGAGCCTGGGACAATGCACACAACCGATTTGATGACATCCCCTTCGCATTAGAGGACCCCCCCATCATGTCAGAGGCCCGCTATTACATCAGAGGCCCCACATCATGTCAAAGGTGTCACTTTATGTCAGGGGCCACCTCATCGTATCAAAGGTGCCACCATCACATCAGAGGGCTCACATCATGTCAGGGGCCCCCTCATCACATCAAAGGTGCCACCATCACATCAGAGGGCTCACATCATGTCAGGGGCCCCCTCATCATATCAAAGGTGCCACCATCACATCAGAGGGCTCACATCATGTCAGGGGCCCCCTCATCATATCAAAGGTGCCACCATCACATCAGAGGGCTCACATCATGTCAGGGGCCCCCTCATCATATCAAAGGTGCCACCATCACATCAGAGGGCTCACATCATGCCAGAGGTCTCCTCTTCACATCAGAGACCCACGATCACATTAGAGGTCCTTCATCACATCAGAGCAGAGGTTCGCCTATCATGTCAGAGGTTCACCCATCATGTCAGAGGTTCACCCATCATGTCAGAGGTCTCCCATCACATCAGAGGTCCCCACATTGCATTGAAGGTTCCCTCCATCCCAGCCACCATGTCAGAGATTCTCTCTTCTCATCAGAGGCCCCTCATCGTATCAGAGTTCCCCCCCCCATTTGTGTCAGGGGTTCCCATTCAAATAAAAGGCACCCTATCACATCAGAACCTTCTTTATACATCAGAAGTCCTCCCATTATATCAGTGGTTCCCCATCACATCGGAGGTCCTCAATCACATCAGTGTCTTACCTTCACATCATAGGTCCACCAGTCTCATCAGAGGCCCCTCATTGTATCAGAGTTCCCCCCCTTTGTGTCAGGGGTTCCCATTCAAATATAAGGCACCCTATCACATCAGAACCTTCTTTATACATCAGAAGTCCTCCCATTATATCAGAGGCTCCCCATCACATCAGAGGTCCTCAATCACATCAGTGTCCTACCTTCACATCATAGGTCCACCCGTCACATCAGAAGTCCCCTATCCGGTCAAAGGTCCTCAATCATATCAGTGTCCTACCTTCACATCAGTGTCCTACCTTCACAGCACAGGCCTCCATCACACCAGGCATCCCCCATCAGGTCAGGCATTCCCCATCACGTCAGACGTCCTCAAGCACATCAGAGTTTCCCTCATCATGTCAGAGGTCTCCCATCACGTCGAAGGTCCCCCCATCATATATAAGTCCCAACACCATGTCAGAGATCCTCCATTAACATCTGAGGCTCTTCATTTTATCAGAGTCCCAACCCCTTTGTGTCAGGGGTTCCCATTCAAATAAGAGGCACCCCATTACATCAGAACCTTCTTTATACATCAGAGGTCCTCCCATCACATCAGAGGTCCCCCATCACGTCGGAGGTCCTCAGTCACATCACTGTCCGACCTTCACATCAGAGGTCACCCATCACATCAGAGACCCCCCCCCCCCATCACATCAGATGTCCTCTTGTCACATCAGAGGCCCCACATCATGTCAGAGGTCCTGCATCTAGTCAAAACTCCCCCCATCACATAAGAGTCCCAACACCATGTCAGAAATCCCCCCTTTGTGTCAGGGGTCCCAATTCAAATCAAAGGCACCCCCTCACATCAGAACCTTCTTTATACACCAGAGGTCCTCCCATTACATCAGAGGTTCCCCATCACATCAGAAGTTCTCAATCACATCAGTGTCCTACCTTCACATCATAGGTCCCCCCATCACATCAGAAGTCCCCTATCTGGTTAAAGGTCCTCAATCACATCAGTGTCCTACTGTCTAATCAGTGTCCTACCTTCACCCCCCCCCATCATATATAAGTTCTCACACCATGTCAGAGATCCTCCCTTAATATCAGAGGCTCCTCATCTTATCAGAGCCCTCCCCCCCTTTGTGTCAGGGGTCCCTATTCAAATCAGAGGTCCCTCATCACATCAGAGGTCTCCCATCATGTCAAAGCCCCCCCCCCCCCCCCCATCATATAGAAGTCCCCACACCATGTCAGAGTTCCTCCTTTAACATCACAGGCTCCTCATCTTATCAGAGTCCCCCTCTTTGTGTCAGGGGTCCCTATTCAAATCAAAGGCACCCCATCACATCAGAATCTTCTTTATACATCAGAGGTCCTCCCATCACATCAGAGGTCCTCCCATCACGTTAGAGGTCCTCCCATCACATCAGAGGTCCCCCCATCACATCAGAGGTCCCCCCATCACGTCGGAGGTCCTAAAGTCACATCAGTGTCCTACCTTCACATCAGAGGTCCCCCATAACATCAGAGACCCCCCCCCCCCCCATCACATCAGACGTCCTCTTATCACAGAGGTCCTGCTTCTAGTCTAAAATCCCCCTACTCATCACATAAGAGTTCCCACATCATGTCAGAGATCCCCCCTTTGTGTCAGGGGTCCCCATTCAAATCAGAGACACCCCACCACATCAGAAACCCTTTCATACATCAGAAGCCCCCTGTACAGGAGAGTCCCTCATCATCCATAATGCTCCTAAACATAATAAACCCCCTATATATGAGTCCTCCCATCACCACAGAGTCCTTCCATCAGGGAGCCCCCAAATCGCACCCCATCACAGAGCTCCCTCCAAATAACACAGACCCTCATGACGTTGAGCCAGAGCAAACTACGCCCCATGGTTACTGCAAATTGGATGTTTATATTTTTGGGATTTTGTGTGGGTTTTTTGTCTGACTGGCTGCAGCTTCTAATGCACATTGTGAGAAGCTCACAGTGTGCGGTGAAATCAGAGTAAGACATTTCAGTCCAGGAGAGGAGCCGGTACAACTGTGCAAGACCGGAGGGAAGGCTGGAGGTCAGTTTTGAAATACAATTGAAAGTACTTCAAAAGCCTTCAAAACCCCTGAAAAATATCTTGATATTACCTACAGCACAAATCAGACTCTTACGCAGGCCATAGATGGGTTGAAAATTGGCCGATTTTTCATCCAAAGAAAAAATCGGCCGATTTTCACACCGGTAATGAGTTAATTGGTCGTCTGTTTTTCTGGATTTTGGCAAATTTTTTTTTATCGGTAAAGTTGGAAAACAATCGGCCGATTTTGCTGATCGGCCAATTTTCGCGGCAATGATGGGCAAATCAGCCGATCTTTTTACCGATAAAAAATCTGCGCATGAGCCGTGACCTGCAAGAAAAAGAAGAAGAAAAAGAGGCAGAAGAAGAAAAAGAAGAAGAAGAAGGAGAAAAAAAAGAAGACAAAGTAGAAGAAGTAGAAGAAAAAGAAAAATAAGAAAAAAGAGGAAGAAAAGTAGAAGAAGAAGAAGAAAAAGAAAAGGAGAAAAAGCAAAATAAAAAAGGAGAAGAAGAAGAAAAAGAAGGAGAAGAGGAAGAAAAAGAAGAAGAAAAAAAGTAGAAGAAGAAGAAAAAGAAGAAGGAGAAGAAAAAGAAGAAGAAAAAAAAGAGAAGAAGAAGAAAAAAGAAGCAGAAGAAGAAAAAGAAGAGGAAGAAAAAGGAGAAAAAAGAATTCCAGTCCGCTATTACATTTGACATGAAAACGTATTGCGGTTGCAACAATATATCTATTTGTATCTGAATAAAAACATCTGTATCTGAAATGGATACAAATAGATACATTGTTGCAACCTCAAGACTTTTTCATGTCAAATATAATAGCGGGGCTCTCTGCAGGGACAGAAGTAATTAAATGCCGGCCATAGACGGGACGAAAATTGGCCGATTTTTTTTACTGTTGGTGGTAACGTTGGCCTATTGAACGACCAATTTTTCATTTTAAAAAAAAAAAAACGGCCGGTTTTCGACCCATCTATGGCCTGCATAAGTGGTCTGTATTGCAGACCAATCGGCTCCAAAATGTGGCCGGTCTGATGTGTTCAGGCATTGGATGGGAGGGTATTGGGTCTGCCTCCAGGAGGAGGAGGAGGAAAGCTCAGACACTTGGTGCTCATTCATTGTCCAATAAGCAGTAAGGAGGCGGGGTAGAGAGAGGGGAAGATGCAGGACTCCAGCAGGTAATAGCGGTGTCCCTGTCCTGGTCCTCTAGTATGGTAAGAAATGTGCAAATCACAAGACTGGCTGGACTGAACTACAAATATTTCGGCAAGTAAAGTTATTTACATGAATGCTTATTATTATTATTATTATTTTTTATTATTATTTTTATTATTATTATTATTTTTTTTTTCACAGGTCCATATTCAGAACGCTGCATTGGCAGGTGGTGTTGCAGTTGGCACGTCCGCAGAGATGATGTTGACTCCGTTCGGTGCTATGATCTCTGGATCCCTAGCTGGGATAGTCTCTGTCCTTGGATACAAATATTTGACAGTAAGCTTCCTGAGCCACATATATAATACATGGGATTCGTATGGATGAACAGAGTAGCCCCCCCTACTGGTGGTTGATAAGTCAGGGGCCTACATGCATTAGATCCATCAAGGCTGGTTGGAAACCCAAGGTCCATGCTCTAGCTCACACTTCACGGCTATCTAGGTCTTTGTCACAAGGCTAGCACAACTTCACAACTAAACTTTACAACTAAGTTGTAAGGGCCCCATTCCTGTGGTACTAGGTTGGGTCCCAAGGGGGTTTTGGCCTTGTTATAGGCCACCACTCACACCAATGAAATAACAGGTTGCTTCTGCTGGAACTTGCCTCCACTTCAGCAACTTGCATCATATCAGTAATATTCAATATGGTCGGCAACAGTTCAGTTTGGCATAGTTGGCATTAGTCCATTGGAACATTTTACCTTAAAGCTACGTTGAAGGGGCCCCTTGCCTGTGGTGCCAGATCAAGTCCATTGGAGGTTGTGGCTTAAATACTTGAAGAACATGGGTTTCCCAGTGCATGGTCCAGACAGGTGACCTCTCACCACCACTGAGTGGGCTGGCCGAACTTCACAAACTACCACCAGTCCCCTGACCACGCCAATCCATACACTTCTTGCTACCTAATATTAGGCCACCTCTCACATCAATGGAACAACTTGACTCAGGTTGCTTCTGCTGGAAATTGCCTCTACTTCTGCAACATGCATCATATCAGTCCAATTCAATATGGTCACCAACAGTTCATGTTGGCATTAGCCCATTGCAACACTTTACTTCATAGCTAAGTTCTAGAGGCCCATTTCCTGTGGTACCAGATCAAGTCTGTTGGAGGTTGTGGCTTAAATACTTGAAGGACATGGGTTTCCCTGTGCATAGTCCAGAGAGGGGACCTCTCACCATCACTGAGTGGGCTGGCCCAACTTCACCAAACTACCGCCAGTCCCCTGACCAAGCCAGTTCATACACTTCTTGATACCTAATTATAGGCCACCACTCAGACCAATGGAATAACATGACTCAGGTTGCTTCTGCCGGAACTTGCCTCTACTTCTGCAACATGCATCATATCGGTCCAATTCAATATGGTCATCAACAGTTCATGTTAGCTATGAAGTAAAGTGTTGCAATGGACTAATGCCAAGTTCTAGAGGCTCCTTCCCTGTGGTACCAGATCAAGACTGTTGGAGGTCATGGCGTGGTCAGGGGACTGGTGGTAGTTTGGTGAAGTTGGGTCAGGTCACTCAGTGATGGTGAGAGGTCCCCTCTCTGGACTATGCACAGGGAAACCCGTGTCCTTCAAGTATTTAAGCCACAACCTCCAACAGACTTGATCTGGTACCACAGGAAAGGGGCCTCTAGAACGTAGCTATGAAGTAAAGTGTTGCAATGGACTAATGCCAACATGAACTGTTGATGACCATATTGAATTGGACTGATATGATGCATATTGCAGAAGTAGAGGCAATTTCCAGCAGAAGCAACCTGAGTCATGTTATTCTATTGGTGTGAGTGGTGGCCTAAAATTAGGTAGCAAGAAGTGTATGGACTGGCGTGGTCAGGGACTGGTGGTAGTTTGGTGAAGTTGGGCCATCCAACTCAGTGGTGGTGAGAGGTCCCCTCTCTGGACTATGTACTGGGAAACCCAAGTCCTTCAAGTATTTAAGCCACGACCTCCAACAGACTTGATCTGGTACCACAGGAAAGGGGCCTCTAGAACATAGCTATGAAGTAAAGTGTTGCAATGGACTAATGCCAAGTTCTAGAGGCCCCTTTCCTGTGGTACCAGATAAAGACTGTTGGAGGTTATGGCGTGGTCAGGGGACTGGTGGTAGTTTGGTGAAGTTGGGCCAGCCCACTCAGTGATGGTGAGAGGTCCCCTCACTGGACTATGCACAGGGAAACCCAAGTCCTTCAAGTATTTAAGCCACAACCTCCAACAGACTTGATCTGGTACCACAGGAAATGGGCCTCTAGAACATAGCTATGAACTAAAGTGTTGCAATGGACTAATGCCAAGTTCTAGAGGCCCCTTTCCTGTAGTACCAGATCAAGACTGTTGGAGGTCATGACGTGGTCAGGGGACTGGTGGTAGTTTGGTGAAGTTGGGCCAGCCCACTCAGTGATGGTGAGAGGTCCCCTCTCTTGACTATGCACAAGGAAACCCATGTCCTTCAAGTATATAAGCCACGACCTCCAACAGACTTGATCTGGTGCCACAGGAAAGGAGCCTCTAGAACATAGCTATGAAGTAAAGTGTTGCAATGGGCTAATGCCAAGTTCTAGAGGCCCCTTTCCTGTGGTACCAGATCAAGACTGTTGGAGGTCATGGCGTGGTCAGGGGACTGATGGTAGTTTGGTGAAGTTGGGCCAGCCCACTCAGTGATGGTGAGAGGTCCCCTCTCTGGACTATGCACAGGGAAATCCATGTCCTTCAAGTAGTCAAGCCACAACCTCCAACAGACTTGATCTGGTACCACAGGAAAGGGGCCTCTAGAACGTAGCTATGAAGTAAAGTGTTGCAATGGGCTAATGCCAAGTTCTAGAGGCCCCTTTCCTGTGGTACCAGATCAAGTCTGTTGGAGGTCGTGGCTTAAATACTTGAAGGACATGGGTTTCCCAGTGCACAGTCCAGACAGGTGATCTTTCACCACCACTGAGTGGACTGGCCCACCATCACCCAACCAGTCCCCTGACCAAGCCAGTCTGTACACTTCTTGATACCTAATTACAGGCCACACTCACATCAATGGAATAACAAGACTCAGGTTGCTTCTACTTCTGCAGGAACAAAACAGGTTGTGAATCAAGATCAAGAAAAAAAAAAATATATAAAACAAGACTGAAACTGAAAAGATTTTAAAAAAAATAGACTATTACTCTTGCCGTAGACTGACCATTCTGGACCTTGGCGTGTCTACATTTGGTCTGTTATGTTCTTGCACAGACTTATGATATCACCTACGTGTCCTTTTTCTCCGCAGCCCATCCTGGATTCCAAGCTGAAGATTCAGGACACGTGCGGGGTCCACAATCTGCATGGCATGCCCGGTGTGCTGGGGGCGATGATAGGATCCATTGTAGCTTTTACGGCGACGGCAGACGTCTACGGTGGCGGGTAAGATCTTTTGAATTTCAGGAGCTCTTCGGGGATTTCTTTTTTCTTGTTTTAATACCAAAAAAAAAAAAAAAAAAGTCTTTTAACTTGACTTGCAGGATGGATGATGTTTTCCCATTGATCGCTGAAGGGAGTCGCACGGCCCATTCCCAAGCTTTGTACCAGTCCCTGGCCTTGATGGTGGCTTTGGCCTTTGCCCTGGTTGGGGGACTTATTGTAGGTGAGTTGGCGTTGCTGAGACTTCATCTTCCTTCATAGCGGAGTTAAAATGTGGAAGGAATTATATAGGAATAGAACGACTTTTTTTCCTAACATGTTTTCAGCTAGGCACGGTGAGAAAGCGCTGCGCCTAGCGCCAAACGTGTCGGGATACAACTCTCTCCAGCCGGCCATTTTCAAAGAAGAATTTTTTTTTTTTTTGGCACCTCGAGGTGTGGCACTCCCGTTGATCGCTTGGATACTTAACCCCGGTTCACACTGATGCGACTCATCATGCGACACATAAATGCACATTCTCATCAAGATCTCATCAAGATCTCCAAATCTTTTATTGCAGAAAGATCACATCACAAAGAAACACGGGCAAAGTTACAGAGCAGGGGCGGACTGACCATTTGGAAACTTGGGCAGTGCCCGAGGGCCTGGGGTCAGTAGGGGGCCCCATGAGATGCCCCTGGTACCTTTTACATAGGCTTTTTTGAGTTTGGGCAAAGACACAGGGGCCCCATGATCCCCTATTGCCCGGGGGCCCCATGAGTTGTCAGTCCACCCCTGTTTCGGAGTCGCACAGGACCCTTCGTCAGGCATGCGATGTCAGCAACCAGGCAGTAACCGGCTAGTAGTCGCTGCAGCCAGGGGCGGACTGACAACTCATGGGGCCCCCGGGCAATAGGGGATCATGGGGCCCCTGTGTCCTTGCCCAAACTCAAAAAAGCCTATGAAAATGGTACCAGGGGCATCTCATGGGGCCCCCTACTGACCCCGGGCCCTCAGGCAGTGCCCGGGTTTCCAAATGGTCAGTCCACCCCTGGCCGCAATCTCCCATTATTGATGAGCCCTGTCTCCAGGAACATGTGACACGGGAATATAGCGACACGTGAAGTCACATGACAAATCAAAACATATTCATATTCAGCAACTTAAAGCGATTCTAAAGGTTCGTTTTTTTTTTTTTTAAAATAAAAAACATGTCTATACTTACCTGCTGTGTGCAGAGGTTGTGCACAGTGCAGCCGGGATCCTCCTCTTCCTGGGTCCCCTGCAGGCTCTCCTGGCTCCTCCTGTCTGTCGGGTGCCTCCACAGCAAGCTGCTTGCTATGGGGGCACCCGCGGCTCCGTGCGTCCATTCACACACAGAGCCTCCCCACATGGAAGAAAAATATATTTGAAATAAAATTTTAAAAATATTTCTTCCCAATATATTGACATATATTTGAAATGCTACAATTTTGGCCGTATTCAATATATTTCAATAAAAAAAAAAAAAAAAATATATATATATATATATATATATATATATATATATATATATATATATATATACATATATATATATATACTGTATGTTGAAATGCATTTTTATTACAAAAATATTTGTAAAATAATATATATTTTTTTTAAAATATATTCTTCAGATTTTTTTTTTTACAAAAGTCCTTTTAACATATATTTTTACATATATTTGTAAATGCATTCCAAAAATGTCGATTTGTATTTTTAAAGACATACAGTAAATTTGAAATATAGTTTTCTTATAATTTGTAATAAAAACGCATTTCAACATACAGTATATATATATATATACAGTGGGGCAAAAAAGTATTTAGTCAGCCACCAATTGTGCAAGTTCTCCAACTTACAAAGATGAGAGAGGCCTGTAATTGGCATCATAGGTAGACCTCAACTATGAGAGACAAAATGAGAAAACAAATCCAGACAATCACATTGGCTGATCTGGAAAGAATTTATTTGCAACTTATGGTGGAAAATAAGTATTTGGTCACCTACAAACAAGCAGGATTTCTGGCTCTCACAGACCTGTACCTTCTTCTTTAAGAGGCTCCTCTGTCCTGCACTCATTACCTGTATCAATGGCACCTGTTTGAACTTGTTATCAGTATAAAAGACACCTGTCCACAACCTCAAACAGTCACACTCCAAACTCCACTATGGTGAAGACCAAAGAGCTGTCGAAGGACACCGGAAACAAAATTGTAGACCTGCACCAGGCTGGGAAGACTGAATCTGCAATAGGCAAGCAGCTTGGTGTGAACAAATCAACTGTGGGAGCAATAATTAGAAAATGGAAGACATACAAGACCACTGATAATCTCCCTTGATCTGGGGCTCCACGCAAGATCTCACCCCGTGGGGTCAAAATGATCACAAGAACGGTGAGCAAAACATCCCAGGACCATACGGGGGGACTTAGTGAATGACCTGCAGAGAGCTGGGACCAACGTAACAAAGGCTACCATCAGTAACACACTACGCCGCCAGGGACTCCTGCAGTGCCAGACGTGTCCCCCCTGCTTAAGCCAGTACATGTCCGCGCCCGTTCTGAAGTTTGCTAGAGAGCATTTGGATGATCCAGAAGAGGATTGGGAGAATGTCATATGGTCAGATGAAACCAAAATAGAACTGTTTGGTAGAAACACAACTCGTCGTGTTTGGAGGAGAGAGAATGCTGAGTTGCATCCAAAGAACACCATACCTACTGTGAAGCATAGAGGTGGCAACATCATGCTTTGGAGCTGTTTCTCCGCAAGGGGACCAGGATGACTGATCCATGTATAGGACAGAATGAATGGGGCCATGTATCGTGAGATTTTGAGTGCAAACCTCCTTCCATCAGCAAGGGCATTGAAGATGAAACGTGGCTGGGTCTTCCAACATGACAATGATCACAAACATACCGCCCGGGCAACGAAGGAGTGGCTTCGTAAGAAGCATTTCAAGGTCCTGGAGTGGCCTAGCCAGTCTCCAGATCTCAACCCCATAGAAAACCTTTGGAGGGAGTTGAAAGTCCGTGTTGCCCAGCGACAGCCCCAAAACATCACTGCTCTAGAGGAGATCTGCATGGAGGATGGGCCAACATACCAGCAACACTGTGTGCCAACCTTGTGAAGACTTACAGGAAACGTCTGACCTCTGTCATTGCCAACAAAGGATATATAACAAAGTATTGACATGAACTTTTCATATTCACCAAATACTTATTTTCCACCATAATTTGCAAATAAATTCTCTCCAAATCAGCCAATGTGATTGTCTGGATTTGTTTTCTCATTTTGTCTCTCATAGTTGAGGTCTACCTATGATGCCAATTACAGGCCTCTCTCATCTTTGTAAGTGGGAGAACTTGCACCATTGGTGGAGACTAAATACTTTTTTGCCCCACTGTCTATATATATATATATATATATATAAATATATATATACTGTATGTTGAAATGTGTTTTTATTACAAGATATATGAAAATTATTTTTAAAAAAATACATTTCAAATCTACTGTATGTCTTTAAAAATACAAATCTACATTTTTGGAACGCATTTACAAATATATGTTTGATGCGCCGGTATCCAACTTCAGAGGGTTTTTAGCCAAAGTCGCATTACATCAAGTCGCAATGCAAAGCCGCACAGCAAGTCGCAGCAGTGTGAACCAAGCCGAACACTTCTAATATCTGTTTGGCTTTAAGTAATTTAATGTGGAAAATCTTTGGATTGTCCAGCTCTATGATGAATATAGTAGTGATCACATTTTTTTTTTTTTTTTAATAGGGTTCATACTGAGGTTGCCCTTCTTCGGCTCCCCATCCGATGCTGAATGTTTTGACGATTCCCTCTACTGGGAGGTGAGTGTTTTATGGCAAGCACTTCAAAAATATATATGGAACTTCCCAAGCTGCCAAAGTACATATACTGCGTCGGGGGGTGGCGCGTGCAGGCAAAATCATATACATGGACGTCATTGTGCCTGTTCCGGTTGAGAGGCGCACAGCGGATTGTGGATCTCGGTACTTGGGATCGCCATGTGATCACATGGTCACGGTGCCAACAAAAACTGTTACGAATTAATTCATTTATAACAGCCCTGTTTCCTATGATTTGATAGGCCCACAGCCATCATATGGAACCTGGGCCAATCACATCACCCTGTACCATGTGATCAGCTGTAGCCAATCACTAGTGATCGCAGCTGTCATGAATGTAATGCATTCATGACAGTTGAAAACTTTTGCTGTTACAATGGCCTTATATATATACTGTATACCCCTGATCCCCCCCCCCCCCCCCCCCCCCCCAGAGTAGTACAGTGTTACTATGGTGACTGAACTACACTGATGAAAATATGAAAAAAAATTATATACAGTATGTGTGTGTATGTGTTTTAACCACTTCCCGACCGGACCGTTGGCAAGCCGTTGCATATATAAACGGCCGGACGGTGCAGGCAGTACAGGACGTCGGGTGGCCGTTTAATGAACAGCCTCCCCGCACCGGACTGCTTGTGCGCGCTGGTGACGTGCCGTTTATGACTCCCCTGGGAGCGCGCGCCCGGGGCTAAGCAGCACCGCGGATCGGGTGCCCGCTGTGTCCTCCGGACACAGTGAAACACCGATCGTCGGACGGGACCTCTGTACGAGGTCCCGATCATGTGATCACTGATTGTGGCTAATCAGTGATCACATGCACAAGTAGTAAGCAAGATGTCACTTGTGACATCATTGCTTACTACGTGTGAAATCTGTGAATGATCACAGAGGTCACATGGTACAAGGGCTATTCACAACAGCCTTGTACCATGTGACAAGCTGTGACCAATCACAGCTCACACTCTGTATTTCTCAATGAGTGCAGGAATGCACACAGAGAGAAAGAGAAATGATTGCTTTTTACATCCTATATGGTACCCTGTGTAAAAGCAATCATTGTAAAAAAAAAAAAAAAAAAAAAATCTTCATCACCCTCCACAAGTAGTACAGTGTCACCATGGGTGACACTGTATACTGCTAGGGTGACAGATGTAAAAAAAAATAAATAAATAAATAAAAAATAATAATATAAAAAATAAAATAAAAATGTAAAAAAAAAATGTTTTAAAAATTAATAATTTTGGTTATTATAACTAATTTGTTTTTGTTTGTTTTTTTTACTAAAAAGATAACGAAAATACATTTTGGCAAAGATTATGATGAAATATTATTTTATTTGCAAAATTTTATAAAAAAAAAAACACTTTTGTTCAAAAAATTTTTGGACTTTTTCATTTACATAGCAAAAAAAAAATAAAAAATCCCAGCAGTGAATAAATACCACCAAAATAAAGCTTTATCTGTCGCAAAAAAATTTAAAAAAATTAATTTGGGTACAGTGTTGCATGACTGCGCAATTGGTCATTCAAAGTGTGTTGCGAGAGCGCTGAAAGCTGAAAATTGCCCTGGACAGGAAGGGGGTGAAAGTGTCCGTTCTGGAAGTGGACTGTTATATCTGATTACCACCACATCTCCATCATATGATGATGCTGTACTGCACTGAAGACCGTATGTAAAATAAAAAAAAAAAAAAAAAATTTTTCATATTCAAAAAAATTGTAAAAAATTTTAAAAAGTTTAGAAAATTGAATACTTTTTTTTTAACACATACTGTTACCTGATCACCGCCATCCATCATATGATCATGCTGTACTGCACTGGGGACAGTATGTAAAAAATAAAATTGAACAAATACATTTTTTCATTTTTCAAAAAATTGTGAATTTGGCCTAAATTTATTGATGAAATTTGATTTAATTGGATATGTTTTATAACAGAAAAATATTGTGTTATTATTTTCCAATTTTTAAGGTTTTTCGCTTGTCACAAAAAAAAAAGACAGCGCTGTGAGATCGAATACCACCAAAAAGAAAATCTATTTGTGTGAAAAAAAATTATACAAATTTTGTCTTGCGTGCAGTATTGAATGACCGCGCAGTTGCCAGTTAAAGTAGCGCAGTGCTGAATGGCAAAAAATTGCCCTGGTCATGAAAACCTTCTGGAGATGAAGTGGATATCTAAAGTTAAAAACGCATTATTTGCTTTGATTTTTTTTAATTTTTCTACAACTTTGTATTACAAGACCCTACCGTCCTTCTTTTTGTTTTTTCTTCCTTCTTTTTTTTCCTGCTATTTTTTTTTCTTCTTTTTTTTCTTCTTTTCTTTTTTTTTCTTCTTTTCTTTTTTTTTTTCTTCTTTTTTCTTCTTCTTTTTTTTTGCTTCTTTTTTTCTTCTTTTCTTTTTTTTCTTCTTTTTTTTCCCGCTTTTTTTTTCTTCTTTTCTTTTTTTTTTTTTCGCTTCAACTTTTTTTTCTTCTTTTCTTTTTTTCTTCTTTTTTTCTTCTTTTTTTTTTTCTTTTCTTCTTATTTTTTCTTATTTTCTTTTTTTTCTTCTTTTTTTTATTTTCTTCTTTTTTTTCCTTTTTATTTTTTTTTTACATCAGCTCCACTCATATTTTGCATATATCATTTAAAAAGCCAGTGTTTATGCTGAAGTAGGCAGAAATCACTCATTGTACGTGCAGTGCACTCCTAGTATTTTTCACAAGAGTGTCACCCCTCCCCCCCCACGTGTCCCAATGGGTGCCATTCATATCTGTGCAGGCCATAGCGGGTTCGAAAATCGGCCGATTTTTCGTCCGAAAGAATAATCAGACGATTTCCACACTGTTAGTGCAGCAATGGCATCGGCCGATTTTCGTGGTTCCTCCTCATTTCGTTTATCGGGCATGCTGGAAAATTTGTGAAAATCGGACCGATTTTCGAAATCATTGGTGGCAAACATCGGATTACAGAACGAACGATGTTTCATTTTTCGGGACAAAAAAATCGGCCGATTTTCGAAATCATTGGTGGCAACATCGGATTACAGAACGAACGATGTTTCATTTTTCGGGCAAAAAAATCGGCCGATTTTCCAAATCATTGGTGGCACCATCGGATTACAGAACGAACGATGTTTCATTTTTCAGACAAAAAATCGGCCGATTTTCAAACCGTCTATGGCCTGCATTACCCAACAATTCATTTGTGCTGCTTTTTTTAGATTGCAACTTTGCTGCCTGTAATACCAACAAACCGCCAGTAGATGGCAGCAGAATGCTATGGTTGTAGAGGAAGGACAGAGTCGCAGAAACAAAATGTGTTTTCAATGAAAAAAGTAAAAAAAAAAAAAAAGATTTCAGGATTCGTTGGTTCACATCTCCACAACGGACGGAAATGTGCAAACTGTGAATTTGGAATGGAATCCCGGATCGCTATTACATTAGTGAGCAATGAACAGGTATTGCGGCAAAAGAACGCACGCGACATGCATATTGGGGCGCTGAAATTTTTTTTTTTTGTACATTGAGGTGCGCTTCCAGCACATTCACCCATTGTGTTGATGCGCATAAATGCAGATAATATTCGGAAAGGATAGACAGAGCCCGCATCACGTAACTGGCTGGACACGGTTTCTGGGAATTGATGACTCCTGGGGTCGTCCACGTTTGTGTAGAGCGATCTGGTGATCCGGCGATCCACAGCTTACTTCCTGAGCAGAGATGGGACATGAAAAAGCCTAACAGTACTCCTGAGGACTCCAGGGATCATGTGCTCCTTTACGGGCCTGTTCACACTATGGCAAGGGTCTCCAAACTACAGTCCGCGGGCCAGACCTGGCCTCTGAAAGGTTTTATCTGGCCCTTTGGTGTAAGGGGACTCTGAAAAAGACTCATGTTAGAGGGGCTTTTATGGAGACTCTGATGAAAGTGGGACGTTGATGTAAAGGGACTTTTAGGGAGACTCTGATTATAAGGGGGACTTTTATGGAGACTCTGATGTAAGGGGGAATATGATGGGGACTATGATGAAAGGGGGACTTTTATGGAGACTCTGATGTAAGGGGAAATATGATGGGGACTCTGATGAAAGGGGGACTTTTATGGAGACTCTGATGTAAAGGAGACTTTTATGGAGACTCTGATGTAAGAGGGTTCTGATGGGCAATCTGATGTAAGGGGGACATTTATGGAGACTCTGATGTAAGGGGGCTCTGATGGGCACTCTGATGTAAGGGGGACATTAATGGCAACTCTGATGTAAGGGGGACTTTTATGGAGACTCTGATGTAAGGGGACTTTGATGGGCACTCTGATGTACGGGGCACTTTAATGGAGATTCTGATGTAAGGGGGAATATGATGGAGATTCTGATGAAAGGGGGACTCTGATGTCATGAGAACTCTCATATAAGGGGGGGACTCCAATGTAAGGGGCTCTGATGTGAGACTCTCATGTAAGGGGGACTTTTATGAAGTCTCTGAGTTAAGGGGACTCTGATGAGGACTCTCATGTAAGAGGGGACGCCGATGTAATGGGTCTCTAATGTGAGGCTCTGGTGTAAGGGGGACTTTCATAGAGATTTTATTGTAAGGATAGCTCTAATGGGGACTCATTGTATGGTGGGGGCTCTGATGAGCTGATGTTTATTTGGAATTTCTTTGCTTCTTCTGCTTAAGTTTTTTTCTCTGTTCTAAATCCTATCATTCCAATTAAAAGGAAAACTCCAAGCATGGTTCGTTAGTTCTTTTCAATTTGATTCCTTCATTTGACCAATTTTTTTTGGCTCCCCAATATTTGTAAAATATACGATGTGGCCTCCCCCCACCTGCACTATGGTGCCTCCTGCCCTATGGGGCCCCCTGCACTATGGTGCCTCCTGCCCTATGGGGCCCCCTGCACTATGGATCCTTCTGCACTATAGAGCCTTCTGCACTATGGAGCCCCCTGCACTATGGAGCCCCCTGTGCTATGGAGCCCCCTGCACTATGGTGATCCCTGCACTATGGGGCCCCCTGCATTATGGCATTGAGGTGACGCACATGATACCACAACATGTACAGTAGCATTTTGAATGGTCCCCTAAAGTGGCTGCAAACCTCAGACATGAACTATGAACAAAGCACATCCCTCT